CTCTGCAATTCCGTTAGAATCCCATCATATTTTGACCTTATCCAAGTCAACCTTTAGTAAGTGCTCGACCACCCGGTCATTCCTATCTCTGGTGTCGACCACATGAGCAACTCTCTGCTCGATCTCTCCTCTCGTCGATCGGACTTCAACTACCGTCTAAACTGCTCCTTTGTGCCAGTGCTCTCGCCCTCCTGATATCGAGATGGTTTCACTGTAACAGTGCCCCTCCATATCCTCTTCGACCATCTCCATCCTGTTTATGCCCGGCTTTACTTAAACCACTTGTTGGACCGGTTTGTCCATGAGGTATAATATCCCATATCAGAACGGGTCTTCACCTCATGATAGTAGTTGATCGTCCCCCATCGTACATCGGTTAGGTTTACGGTTGTCGATGTGCAACATTCTTTGCCATGAAACAGATCGGCTCCTCCAGTCATTCCGGTTGGTTGTAGCTCGCCTTGCTCGTCTAGTGGCCTTCCTTGCAGTTCCTCCTGACTCCTCTTAGGTGTCCCCAACTGATTGGTGCGTGTCATAAATGGTCCAATTTGTCTTTGATGGTAATAAAAATGAATTGGTTCGGATGAATGGAATACCCAAACACAACTGAAAGAATGATATATGACAAACAGAAAGTTGAAAACTCTTATCTCAATTGATACATCATGTCACAAGACTTGGTTTCAAAACTCCATGTGAATAGGGAAGCAAAGACAATAGCTTTCAAAGATATTGCAAAAGTGCAAGAAAGAAAAAGATTCTTCCAGAAAACCCAACGAAACAAAAGAACGGGAGATTCTAAGAAATTACAATAAAACGAATATTCTAAAGATAGGGGCAGTTCTACGCTTCACAATGCTCTTACTCCAGCCTCCACTACCCTCCTTAAAAGATCCTTCATAATCTTTTAAGGTACAACAACTTTTTCGTAATCATCAACAACTCCAATTTAGAGAAAACCATCTCTGGTGCCACATACGAGTCGATCACGACCTGATAAATGGCCACCATTGGCCTCCAGGCTACGATACCATAGAGAATTGCGACGACGTTTGAAAATTTCGATTACACGGACTCGGAGTTATCGTAAACAACAACACCAACCTTGCAACAAATAAGGTCTAGCAGAAAACAGATTGCTTATCCTTATTTGTACACAAAGCCTCTAAATAAAGTTAGTTCCACACATAAAGCACAAAATTTTGCACAACTGATTAAAAGTAACACGTAGAATTGGAAGGTTAATAACCAACACACGATCTCAATTTCCCGGTCAGTTGTCAACTCCTTGCTTAGTTTATTCTTATCCTAAATAGGAGCATACTCATGGGATTGTCCCTGCGTATTGACTAAATGTCGAGTAGAAGGGTTCATCCACGCG